GAGTTCTGGTGAGTATCCACTTAAAATGCCATGTGATGCTAACCATCTCTGTGTGAGCAGTTCATCTCTCCAGTAAATTGCATATTGCAGTAAAAAGTGATCTTTCATGGTTCTCATGTATTTTTCATTTAGTACAATACTGTAACATCATGGAGCCCATACAAAATGCCACTAGTGGTCCTGGAAGTGGTCCCAAGAAGCAGAGAGAAGTCATGACATTACAAGAAAAAGCTGAATTGCTTGATAGGTGCTGTAAATTGAGATGTTTATCTGGATTGCCTGCCATTTCAAGATAAATGAATCCAGCCTAGGAACTATTGTAAAAAAAAGAAAAGGAAATGCGTAAAGCTGTTGCTGCAGCTATGTCAGCAGGTACAGAAACCTTGTACTTTTTGTGAAATGTTTTTATCTCATATTGAAAATGCAGTTTTTATGTGGGTGCAGGATTGTTATAAGGCAAAGCTACAGACTCTAATATGGTTCAAGACATAGTGGTCATTGTATGACAACTAAAAGCCAAAGGAAGGTGAAGGTCTAAAGCTGGAGAATTTAATGCCAGCAAAGGACGGTTTGATAATTTTAAAGAGGATGGGCTTAAAAAGTGTCAAGATAGGAGAAGCAGCTTCTGCTGCAAGAGGTAGCAGATGAGTTCCCAGACACTAAGAAAATCACTGAAGAGAACGGATATCTGCATGAACAAGTTTTTAATTGCAGACAAAACTGCCCTATTCTGGGAAAAAGTACACTTATTTATAAGAAAGACAAGTGAGCACTAGGATTTAAGGCAGTAAGAAATAGGCTAACTCTACTGCCTTATGCACAAGCAGTCATGATCAGGACTGCCCTTTTCAATATACCTGCTAACCCCTGAGCTTGAAGGGAAAAGATAAACAACAGTTGCCAGTCTTTTGGTTGTACAAGAAAGACTGGACAACTTTAACCCTTTTTCTGGATTGGTTCCATTAGTGCTTTTTCGCTGAATTCAGGAAGTACCTTGCCAGTAAGAGACTGACTTTTAGGTTTTTTTGATATTGGACAATCCCCTGGCCAACCAGAAGTCTGTAAGTTCAACACTAAAGGTGTTCAAGTGGTCTACTTACCCCCAAACACATTATATCTATTTGAGCCTCTCAAACAGGGGGTAATAAGGACCTTTAAGCCTCAATGCACATGGTACTCTATGGAAAGAATTGTCAATGCTGTGGAAGCCAACCCAGATGGAGAGAACATGACGAAAGTCTGGAAGGATTACACCACTGAAGATACATTGTTCTAACAACAACAACAACAACAACAACAAAAGCCGTGAAAGCCATCATGCCCAAAACAATAAATCAATGAATTCCTGCTGCAGAAAACTGTGTCCAGATGTAGGGCAAAACTTCACAGGATTTACAACAGAACCAATAAAGGAAATCAGGAAAGAGGTTATGCATATGGCAAAAAAAGTGGGGGATGGAGGGTTTCAAGATACAGATCTTGGAGAAATTCAAGAGCTAACAGACACCATACTACAGGAATTAACAAAACACGACTCGATGGAGATGTGTTTCTGAACCAGTGCCAGATGATAAGACAATGCAGAAGCAACAGTGCCAGAACACAAATCGACGTTAGATATCTGACAGAAGGGTTCTGATTATTCAAGATTGCTTTCGATTTCTTTCATGGCATAGACCCTTCTGATACAGGCACTACAAACTACACAAATGGTGAAAAAAGGATAAGTATCATATACAAATATTTTGAGAAAAATGAAAAAGCAAAAACGTCGAATTAGTGTTTCCTTAAATGTGCAGGTGTGCCTGCCTCATGCCTCCACTTCCACCTCCTCCACTTCCTGCCCTGCTACCCATGAGACTGCAAGACCAACCCCCTCCTCAGCCTACTCAATGTGAAGACAAGGATGAAGACCTTTATAACGATGACCCATTTTTACCTAATCAATGTTGAGTATATTTTCTCTTCCTTATATCCTCATAACACTCTTTTCTATAGATTACTTTATTGTAAAAATACAGTATATAATATACTAAATATTTGTTAATCAATCAACTGTTTATCACTAAGCTATTAGTTTTGGGGAAGTTGTAAGTTATACATGGACTTTTGACTCTATGTGTCTCCATGTAATAATTTTTGACTTTTGGGTTATTGGTGAATAGGTGTCCTTAACCCATGTTGTTCAAGGGTCAACTGTGTGTATATATGGTCTATATGTGTGTATGCTGTGTAATAAAACAATAAAAACAAGGAAATTAACACAAAAGTTATGGTAGTGTTCACTTTTTAGGGACAAAGAAGAAAATACAATTACTGAGGGGCCCACAGGACCAATTACTAGGACCATTCTATTTCTTAAGCTCAGTAGCAGGTACGAAGCATTGGTACTGGATAAATGCATGGTTTTTGTTTTTTCCTATAAACTGGACATTTACAAATACTCTTGTATAGTTCATATTAAAGCACAAACACGTATGTTTATGAATGCATAGAAAAAATTTTAAAGGACTCAAAGCAACATTTTAACCTAAGTTTCATGAATGGTGTTCTTTGATGTGTTTATAAAAGCTGCTAACACATAGGAGGATGTACTATCTACTGAATGGCAAGAAAAGGAAAAAAAAAGAGCACAATAAAATGAGTACTTATTTGGTGCTCAATACTTTACTGGAATAGCCTGTTATCAAAACTTAAGGTTAAGCCCCAAATCAAGCAACTTTTATTATGCAAACTTCAAAAATGGGTTTTCAAGATGAGCAAGTATTGGTAATGTGCAAAAATGGCCATTAGTTGTATATAGTTTTTTTATAATTGATAATAGTAATCCATAGTGGCATCATCTTTCAAGTTGATGGCAACATGTGAAAAGAAAACAAGTGGTAGAAGTGAGCATTAATTATTCATATACTAATCTTGAGGGAGCAGAGTATAAATAGAAAAAAGAAAAATCAAAGAGATGTTCTTCAGAGTTATGTTCCAATAGGTTTTGCGTGTAAGGGGCCACTAGTATCCAATGATTATACCCATAGAAAAAGAGTACCCTTTGCTCTTATTGGAAGATAATGGTGCTGAGACAGCTAGAGTTTGGTGGATCAAGACCTGTTCACACAACCTACTAAATATGTATCCCTTAACTCTTTGCAATTTCTAATTATAAAGCAACAATGAATGATGTAAGGAAGGTTAGTGTGACATAACTGGAGAGTCTTTTCCTTACTTTAACTGGCACTAGGTATTACCTTAAGCCAAGAGTCCCCAACCATTTTGGCACCAGGCAACGGTTTCGTGGAAGACAATTTTTCCACAAATCGGGGGTAGGCCACATTAGATTCTCATAAGGAATGCGCAACCTAGATCCCTCTCATGCTCTCAGTTCACACTAGGGTTCATGCTCCTGAGAATCGAATGCTGCCACAGACTGGTAGCAGTCCACAGCCCAGGGGCTGGGGACTCCAGCTTTAGGCAGCCATCTGAGTATGGTTCCTCATCAATAACATATAAATAATACCACCTAAATTTTAGTATTTCCAGGCATAAGCAAGGCATTCAGATGTTAAGATTCCCTTCCTTCTCCTTAGGTTAGTTTATTTAGAGAACCAGAGGACATGAAAATGCCTGACACATGGTAAATACTTACTACTGGCTTCCTATGACACACGGTAAATACTTATTATTGGCTTCCTATTTTTCCTACCTGGGGCTTTTACTAGTCCACGGGCATATTTAATAATTGTTTTTAGCTGCTGAGCTATGTAAGCATCCAGAAATCTTTGTTAGCTATTAATGTGGCTTGGTTGAGCTACAGTCTTAAACAGTGATTAATGATGTCTCCATGTAGGAACTTTTGGCCCTTTGGTTATTGGTGAAGAAGGAAACATGGAAGTCTTGTTACCTTCCTTCTCAACTGAGAACATTTTTCTCAATTCTACATAGCCTGAGTAATATATGCCATTTTATATAGTTCTGTATAATAACTATGGATCTATTTGATAAAGAACTTTTAATTCATGGAATTAGCTGCTACATATATAAAGGGTCTATCTTGTTACTCTTCTACCTTGTTACTGATGCAACACTTTGGTATTTTCTCCATGATCCTTGACCATTTTGTACTACCAAGAATTCTTTATATTTCTATATGTATTTTTTCCTGCCCTATACTTGGCATCTTCACACTACTGGTTACAGATGAATAAAAAAAATAGCACTTGGCTTATCCTAACCAATAATCTTCCTAGTTTCAGCACCCTTAGACTAAAGCTTAGAAGTACCAATACCCCAAGCCAAGGGTTGGAAACCACAGCAGGTGAAACAAATCTGGCCCTTGGCCTGTTTTTGTAAATAGTTTTACTGGAACATAGCCATAAGCATTCATTTACATACAAAGGCTGCTTTTGTGCTACATGACAGAGTTGAATAGCTAAAACAGAGAACATATGGTCTGCAAAGCCTAAGATTTAATATCTGGCCTTTCACAAAAAAAGTTTGTAGACCCCCATGCTAAGTTTAGTATTGGGAGGTCTCCATGCTCTTTGAATGGCTCTCAAGAGCACTGTGATGAATGAAAAAAGCTTATCTCAAAGGCTGTGTATTATGTAATTCCATTTATATAACATTCTCATAATGACAAAATACAGTGGTGAGGAACAGATTAGTGGTTCCTAGGGTTAGAGCTGGTTGGGAGTAGGTATGGCTTACAAAAACGTAGCATGAGGGAGATGATGATGATAGTTCTCTATCTTGGTTGCAGTGATGGTTACACAAATCTACACATGATAAAATGATAGGGAGCCATTCACGCACATACTGTACCAATGTCAACATCCTGGTTTTGATACTGTACCACAGTAACATAAAGTGAAAAAATTGACGGAAATAGGGTTCAGCCTACATGGACTTCTCTGTACTAATTTTGCAACTTCCTCCGAATGTAATTATTCCAAAAAAGAAAGTTAAAAAAACACAAACTTGCACATGCAAGAAAATTGACAGCAAGATAAAATGAATCAGTCAATTTTATTCCAATTCTTCAAAATGTATACTCAATATGTTGTTTCCAAAATGTAAGTCACCCTTTATATAATAGTTTTATTATTTCATCTTTCTTTTCTTTTCTTTTCTTTTTTCATCTTTTCTTTATGGTTCTTCAGTAGAAGCCAGAATCTTGAGTTGCCCAATTAGGAGCCTAAAATATGCAAAAAGAAATGAACAGAGTGAAAAGAAAATACTTTCGGAAAAAAACTAACATACAAGAAAGTGACACAGCATTTACTTTAGCACTACTCTTGCCAAACCATTCTAAGATCTTAACTCCTGCAATTACTAGATGTCAGATGTCCCACTTAGGACAAAACAAACATCAAAATTATTATCTGGTATAGTATATGGTCAATTAAAATGTATAGCAATAACGGTATCATTAATACTGGAACAATAAACAACACAAATTAATCTTGAAGCATACAGAAAAAAACATCATATGAAAGTTATTTTCTAGGCTCAGTTATTCTAAACTTGGTTAAAATATGCAATTCAATAATGCATCCTTCCCTTTTGAACTAAAGGACTATTCCACGGACACAAATTTGTTCCTAAACCTTCAATCAAATAGGGTTTCTGCATATCCCACAACTGTTTCCTAATGACTTCCTACCCTCCAGTTACACATAATCATAATGTGTAAACAACATAGTTTAGGATTCCAAAATTATAAGGCCATTCAAGTTTCTTCAATTGCTAACATGCAGAATTAATCTCCCAAAATGGGAGATTAATTTTTGATGTGAATATCAGATGAAAGATAATGACATTTGTATAAGATCAGCACTAATACATATAATAAGATCAACATTTTTACAGAACTATTTCTTTAGATTTAGAAGGAATACACATTTCGAACACTTGAAAGAGGGCTACACATGTAAGTTATCATCTGCCAGTATCAAAATGATGTGTTGAAAACCCTGAGGAAATGAGTTAATGAAGTCACACAGGAAGAGTCAAAGCAAAAGAAAATAGTTATAATAAACTAGGAACACAATTTCTTTTTGAAGAGTCAAAGCAAAAGAAAAATACTTATAATAAACTAGGAACATAATAATGCATCTAAGAAAAAATTCATTTGTTTAGTAATTTCTTAAAATGTTCATATCTTTAAAGAGAAAAACAAAATCAGCTACAACTCATATCAATACACTTCCAAACTTCATGTAACAATTACACGGTTGCTAAATCCCAGACAGAATAGAAAATGTGTGGTTCTTACCTCTGACCTGCTATTCTGATTAAGTTTCTTCTCAATATTCATGGCCAACATCTGGCTTCTAAAAGAAAGGCTTTTGGTCTTTTCAATCACTTGCTGATAGGGTGAGACTGCATTGTTACCCATAACCACATGACCCTAAAAGGAAACACAGGGAAATTGATCCTATAATGGATGACAGAGTTTCTCAGGTGAGTAATAAGCATGACATAACCTTTGCACATATTTTAATGCACTATATAGAGATGACAATATTTACCAAGTAAGAAAAAAAATAGGAGGCTTTTGTTGCCTTCAAAGAAATGTTTTACATTAAAACAAAATAAATTATTAAAGGAGGTAATAAAATGTCCTAGTTAAGAATTCCCAAAAGTATAATCAAGAACTGATAGTATGTAGCATAGCTAACATAATACTCACTAATTTAGAATCAATCTTGGCATCCAGTCTTGCATTTCTAATCAAATTTACAATCCACCTTTCAGCTTCTTCTGGAGTCATGTTCAATTTATCTGCCAACATGCTAATGAAAAAGTAAAAACAGCAATGTTAATTAACTGGGCCTAAAAACTTAGTTTTATGTACACAGTGTTGACTCATACTCTGCACAGAGACTTTTTGGTATTTCTGGATCACCTTTCTCTTATATACTATGACCCCTACTGTCTGATTTGTTCATGTGTTTGTGCCTATTGACTTGTACTACGCACGACCTATTCCATTCACCAACTGGACTGTAAAATCCTTGAGGGTAGGGTAACATTCTGCATTTATGGAAATCCTTCAGCTTCTAGAACAGTACTTTATATTTACCAGCTGCTCAACAAGTAACGATCTAAGCGAGAAAAAGGTTTTATGATGTTCCCTCTATATCAGGGTATATTAAAAGTCAGCCCTCCATATCCACAGGTCCCACATCCTCAGATTCAGCAAACCATGGATAGAAAATATTTGGGAAAAAACAAACAATAAAAAAGAATACAAAAATAATACAAATGAAAAAACCAACACAGTATAACACCTATTTACATAGCATTTACATTTTTAACAGTAACCCAGAGATGACTGAAAGTATATGGGATAATAAGCGTAGGTTATATGAAAATATCACCCCATTTCATTTAAGACACTTGAGAATCTGAATTTTGGCAGCCAGGAGGGTCCTAAAACCAGTCTCCCAAGGATACCAAGGGACAACTATATAATGGTTATACAAAGGAAACCTTTGTATAAAGCTTTCTTTGTATAAAGAAGACATATGAAAAAGACACTTGCACAGATATATTTATAGCAGCACAATTCACAGTTCACTTAGGAACCAACCTAAGTGCCCGTCAACTAATGAGTGGATAAAGTAAATCTGGTATATATAAACCATGGAATACTACTCAGCCACTAAAAGGAAGAAAATAATGTCTTTTGCAGCAACTTGGATGAAACTGGAGGCCATTATTCTAAGTGAAATAATGCAGGAGTGGAAAACCAAAAATCTTATGTTCTCATTTATAAGTGGGAGCTAAGCTATGAGCTAAAATCTCAGAATTCACCACTATATTATTCATCCATGCAACCAAAAAAAACCCACATGTACCCCAAAAGCTATTGAAATAAAATTTTTAAAAAAGTAAACCTACTATAAGGAGCATCAGTAATAAGTATAATCTCAGGAAAAACATAAATAAAACTGAGGGGCATTGTGTATGTTTGTGCTATAAACTGTGGGGGCACTCTCTGGAGCTATATACTATATATAGTGTGTGTGTGTATATGTCTATATATATAGACACTGAATTTCAGATAAAAGAGATGGAGGGAGTGCACCAGAACATGAAGATCTTGATCTAAAATACTATTTGATATCAATCTGCATTTTGTATTTTTCCAATTTTATGATCAGGTTGAAGAGGGCCATTGCAGTGCTTAATTTATCAGAATTAAAAACACACCAGTCTTAGTAAGTAGGTTAAGTCAGTTCAGCTGATGGAAGAGTACCTACATATGCATGTAAAATACTTGAGTATGTAGTATACATGCATGTATATATGTGTGTTTATACACTGTCTTTTATCCTCATGGAAGCTATCAGGTCTCAGCTAAAATAAGACCCTCATAAGCCTTCTAAGACACCTCTCCCAACTGTGATACATCAGTTGGGTGCTTTCATAGCACCTATTTTTGCTATAGTTGTTTTACCGAATATCTGTCTCCAAGGTAGACTGTATACATGTAACCAAAGTGCAAGCACCGTATCCTCCTCATTCCTTGCCGTTATGTCTACCAATTAGCAGCACAATGCCTCGTACACAGGACACAATAAATATCTACTGTCTGATTGATTCCCATTCTAGTCTCTACCCTAGTTCAGGCTCCATTACTATTTCTTAGTTTTCTAACTACTTTACCTCTTGAGTCTCTTCCATCTATCTTACATAGCTGGCAGGTTAGTTCTACAACCCAACTACAGTAGTTCCCACTTATCTGTAGTTCCACTTTCCGTGTTTTCTGTTATCAGCAGTCAATTCCAGTCTGAAAATATTAAATAGAAAACTCCAGAAATAAGCAATTGATAAGCTTTAAATTGTACACTGTTCGGGCTAGCATGATGATATCCTGTATTGTCCTAATGCCTCACCCAGGACTTGAATCATCCCTTTGTCCGGCATATCAACACTGTATACGCTACCCGCCCATCAGTTACATAGTAGCTATCCCAGCTATCAGATCAAGCGCCCTGATATCACAGTGCTTATGTTCAAGGAACCATTATTTTACCTAGTAATGGCCCCAAAGTACAAGAGTAGTGATGCTAGCATATTGTTACAAATTCATTATTATTGTTGTTAATCTTTTACTGTGCTCAACTTATAAATTAAACTTTATCATAGTTACATGTGCACAGGGAAAAACCTAGTATGTATTGGGTTTGGTACTACCTGCAGTTTCAAGCATCCTCTGGGGCTCTTGGAACATATCCCCTTGGATAAAGGGAGACTACCCAGTTTATTTCCATATTCCTTTCAACACTTTTAACTTTCCAAGTTCCCATTATTCTCCTTCATAAATATAACATTCCAGCCAAACCAAACCAATCCTTTTCCTTCATTGACATTCACTCAACAAAATATAAACCGTGTTAGATGCTGTTGGCAAAACATCCTCTGTTGCCAGCCTTTACAGAGTTTAAGTCAAGGGGGTCTTGACTTGAACATCGCTTGATCTTGGGAGGCAGAGGTTACAGTGAGCTGAGATGGCATCATTGCACTCCAGCATGGGCAACAAAGTGAGACCTCCGTGTCAAAAAAAAAAAAAAAAGAAAAAGAAAGAAAAAAGAAAAAGTGGAAGGAGCTATGTATGTGAAATCCAAAAAGGTCTACCAGTTCTAATCTGGAGATTTGGGGAACAGCTTACCTAAGGAAATGCTATTTAATCTTAGATTTTTAAGACCATAGAACGAAAATTTCACTGTAGGCTGGATGTGGTGGCTCATACTTATAGTCCCAACACTTTGGGAGGCTGAGGCCAGAAGTTTGAGATCAGTCTGAAAAACGAAGCGAGATTCTGTGCACACGTGTGCACACACATAGTGGGACACACACACACGTGCATAGTGGGACACACACACACACACATAGGCACGGTAGCCTGCACCTATAGTCCCAGATACTTGAGAGGCTAAGGTCTGAGTAACATTTGAGCCCAGTAGTTTGAGACTGCAGTAAGCTACGATTACACCACTGTACTTCAGCTTTGGTGACAAAACAAGATTCTGTGCTTCTATAAAATAAAATTCCATCTTATGTAATAACTAACTAGAATTCTCTATCCCTCTCTCTTTCTTTACATCCATATTCTAAGTCTCATTCCAATATAGCTGGTGTTAATTTTGCATCAGGCATCAAGATCCATAAATGCCTGCATGCTCTAAGCCATATCTTACTTTGTGGATCTTTGTTTACACTGTGCTTGTTGATCTTTTATTTGTTGATCTTTACTTTTCGAAGTGAATCAAGTCAAAGAAAAACCTAAAATAAGGCCCAAGGAATACTAGTAAATTATTGATGGTATCTCAGTTTATCTAAGCTACCGATGACCACTGTGACTGAATTAAAGAATGTGGAAATAATCCAGTTTGTTTTAAGTAACATGAAAATGCACACAGTAAAAGAAACCAAATGATTAATAAGACTGTAATCCCAGCACTTTGGGAGGCCGAGGAAGGAGGACTGCTTGAGCCCAGGAATTTGAGACCAGCTTGGGCAACATAGCAAGACCCTGTCTCTACAAAAAGCAAAGAAAAAAAAAAAAGGAAAAAAAGGACTAATAGAAATCATCAAGGTCTACAATTCTTTTCCAATCTAGCAATTTTATGCAGAATAGTACAGATTTTAAAATAAAAGTGTAATATCCTATCAAAGCTCAGAAGATAAAAAGCTGTCCCTGGTGGTCTAGTGGCTACGGAGAAATAAAACCATTTTTAAAAAGACAAAAAGTTGGCTTAACCTATCCCAGAATATGCTACCTCATGTTATTGAAAATAATTCAATTTGTCAATAAACTAAAAGACAAAATCCATCAAAATGCAGAATTTCTGAGAAAAATATCTAGTCCAATCCAGATTTTAAACACTCATATTTCTAGATTATTTAGATTACACTAAAAATCTCAATCTTGTCTGTAGGCAGCTTAAGGTAGATATTTAAATATGTTCTGTAAATCCCTTATAAATATCTTTAACCTAACTAGCTCTGCTGCTCCACTGACACACACACAAAACACAATATCGAATATGTTAAATAAGATATGCACAGAATTCTTAAGTGCTATTTCAAAAGACAAAGCAAAAAAAAATCTTTCATTCTCAGTTCAATTTAATTAAACATGTTCATGCTTCTAGCACAAAATGAAATATCTTGTTTCCAGGAAGTAAAAATATACCAGAGATCCCACTTAAGGACACAAGATATATAAGTCTTAATTTAGGGAACCGATTAGGGTTGTATCAACTCTAGATTTTCTGTCAGGTTTTCAGTGCCTAATCATTTAAATGGTCTTCCTTTTCTGAACCCTCTCACAGTCACCATTTTCCGCCACCCTCTCATCTTAACAAAGACTTGGAAAAGTAAGGACCTGGAGGTCCTATATTTCACCTGTCTTATTAATTACCTCTTTGAATAACCTGGCTTTCCAAATTTTATCTGATAGGCACAATTTATTTCAAAATACTGTTGATTTAACCATTCGAATACAGAAACCTCTGGTCTAGTTTTCACTGAAGTCTGCTGGCCAACTAGTCAGCATATCCAAAGAAAAGTACTCCAAGTCTTCTCTAATTAGTTTAAGACAACTAATTAAAGAATCAGTGTTAAGTGTAAACTATGTTTAACTGTATGACTGGGAGGAAACAGGACAAAGAAAACAGGAGAAAACTGAGAAATGCTAAATCCTTATGTGAAAACTGAAAATTCTCACTGAACTTTCCAATATCTCTTTATAATCTTATAAATAACTGAACCTTATTGATAA